CCCCTGGTTCGATTCTGGGTTCCTTTGGGTTCTTTGGTTTTGTTCCGGAGGTTTCTTCCTTTGGGCCCCCTTTGTGGGTTCAGGGGGCTTTGTTTCCTCGTGTGACCCGGGTCTGCCTTCTGGGGTTCCGGGGCCTTCCTGGCTTGCAGACTGATCTTTTTGGGTCTTGGCATATATTGTGGTCGTGCTGGGATTTTGAGGTTTTGTTGTCGAGGTTGGCCTTTTGATGCAGTTTTGTGCCTTCTTTGCCTGGCCAGCGTGGTGCTCTCTGCCCACTGGTTGGCGACTGGTACTTTTCTTTTGCAATGTATGTGTACTCACCTAGTTGTGTTTGCAGGGGTTGAGCTCTAGCTCTTTGGTCCCGCCTCTCAACCGAAGCGAAGTGTGTGTGTATGCATATACATGTGTACGCTGTGTGTATGTGTGTGCACATGTGTATACGCACGTATACACATGTGATGTATAGATGGCAAGTTTTGTGAAATATATGATAAAGGCACAAAAAAATTTATACCAAAACAGAGATGCAGAACTAGGAAACAGGATTGGTTCAATAGAAATTGCGAGAGGGCTAGAGACCGAAAGACACAAAAATGGAATCAATACAGGAAGAGGCCGAACCCCCAAACATACCAGCGATACAAAGATGCGAGAAACAACTACATGGCAGTGAGGAGAGAGGCAGAAAGAAATTTTGAAAAAGGGATTGCGGACAAATGTAAAACAGAACCAGGTCTATTCTATAAATTCATAAACAACAAATTGCAGGTAAAGGATAATATTCAGAGGTTGAAAATGGGAAATAGATTCACGGAAGATGAAAAGGAAATGTGTGAAACACTAAACGAAAAGTTCCAAAGTGTGTTTGTACAAAATGAAATCTTTAGGGAACCAGATACAATAGGAATTCCAGAGAACAACATAGAACACATAGAGGTGTCTAGAGACGAAGTGGAAAAAATGCTCAAGGAGCTCGGTAAGAACAAAGCAGCTGGCCCAGATGGCGTTTCACCATGGGTTCTGAGAGAATGTGCATCTGAGCTCAGCATTCCACTTCACCTGATCTTTCAGGCATCCCTGTGTACAGGAATCGTAGCAGACGGGTGGAAACAGGCTAACATAGTTCCAATCTACAAAAGTGGCAGCAGGGAAGACCCCCTCAATTATAGACCTGTATCATTGACAAGTGTAATAGTGAAAGTATTGGAAAAACTAATCAAAACTAAATGGGTAGAACACCTAGAGAGAAATGATATAATATCAGACAGACAGTATGGTTTTCGATCTGGAAGATCCTGTGTATCGAATTTACTCAGTTTCTATGATCGAGCCACAGAGATATTACAGGAAAGAGATGGTTGGATTGACTGCATCTATCTGGACCTAAAAAAGGCTTTCGACAGAGTTCCACATAAGAGGTTGTTCTGGAAACTGGAAAATATTGGAGGGGTGACAGGTAAGCTTCTATCATGGATGAAAAATTTTCTGACTGATAGAAAAATGAGGGCAGTAATCAGAGGCAATGTATCAGAATGGAGAAATGTCACAAGTGGAGTACCACAGGGTTCAGTTCTTGCACCAGTGATGTTTATTGTGTACATAAATGATCTACCAGTTGGTATACAGAATTATATGAACATGTTTGCTGATGATGCTAAGATAATAGGAAGGATAAGAAATTTAGATGACTGTCATGCCCTTCAAGAAGACCTGGACAAAATAAGTATATGGAGCACCACTTGGCAAATGGAATTTAATGTTAATAAATGTCATGTTATGGAATGTGGAATAGGAGAACATAGACCCCACACAACCTATATATTATGTGAGAAATCTTTAAAGAATTCTGATAAAGAAAGAGATCTAGGAGTGGTTCTAGATAGAAAACTATCACCTGAGGACCACATAAAGAATATTGTGCAAGGAGCCTATGCTATGCTTTCTAACTTCAGAATTGCATTTAAATACATGGATGGCGATATACTAAAGAAATTGTTCATGACTTTTGTTAGGCCAAAGCTAGAATATGCAGCTGTTGTGTGGTGCCCATATCTTAAGAAGCACATCAACAAACTGGAAAAGGTGCAAAGACATGCTACTAAGTGGCTCCCAGAACTGAAGGGCAAGAGCTACGAGGAGAGGTTAGAAGCATTAAATATGCCAAAACTAGAAGACAGAAGAAAAAGAGGTGATATGATCACTACATACAAAATAGTTACAGGAATTGATAAAATCGACAGGGAAGACTTCCTGAGACCTGGAATTTCAAGAACAAGAGGTCATAGATTTAAACTAGCTAAACACAGATGCCGAAGAAATATAAGAAAATTCACCTTCGCAAATAGAGTGGTAGACGGTTGGAACAAGTTAAGTGAGAAGGTGGTGGAGGCCAAGACCGTCAGTAGTTTCAAAGCGTTATATGACAAAGAGTGCTGGGAAGACGGGACACCACGAGCGTAGCTCTCATCCTGTAACTACACTTAGGTAATTACACTTAGGTAATTACGTGTGTGTAACATATCTTGTGTGTTTGTGTATATGTATGTGTATATACACAATGTGTATATGTGTGTGTACTTTTTTCTTTCAGAAGGGGTTCTGTTCCCTTCTCTGTTGACGGGGCACTGGGGGAGCAGCTTGCTCTGTTGACTCTCGCATGGTCCCGCTGTTGGTGGGCGCTTTTGGTTGTCTTCCGGCCTCTGGTGGCGTCGGTAGATGGCTTCTCCCCCTTTGGGGGAGTTCAGAGCTGGCGGGGTGGGCTTCTTCCCCTGTGCTTCATCATGTCATCTTAGTGGGTGCGTTGGACGTGGTCGATCCGCCCCATCCTTCTGGGGTTCCCGTCTGCTCCTTGCAGTCATGGGCCTCTCGCATCTGCAGTTCTTCTGGACTTCTTCAGTCTGCGCCCTGGATTCTATGCCCTCCTTGGAGGACTGTTGTCTCCTGTTTGGCTTCTGTTGGGGCAGGATCAACAGTAGCACAGCCGTACCCAGCACGAGTACAGCCGTACCCAGCACGAGCACAGCCGCACCCAGCACGAGCACAGCTGTACCCAGCACGAGCACAGCCGTACCCAGCACAAGCACAGCCATACCCAGCACGAGCACAGCCGTATCCAGCACGAGCACAGCTGTACCCAGCACGAGCACAGCCGTACCCAGCACAAGCACAGCTGTACCCAGCACGAGCACAGCCGTACCCAGCACGAGCACAGCCATACCCAGCACGAGCACAGCCGTACCCAGCACGAGCACAGCTGTACCCAGCACGAGCACAGCCGTACCCAGCACGAGCACAGCCTTACCCAGCACGAGCACAGCCGTACCCAGCACGAGCACAGCTGTACCCAGCACTAGCACAGCCGTACCCAGCACGAGTACAGCTGTACCCAGCACTAGCACAGCCGTACCCAGCACGAGCACAGCCGTACCCAGCATGAGCACAGCCGTACCCAGCACGAGCACAGCCGTACCCAGCATGAGCACAGCCGTACCCAGCACGAGCACAGCTGTACCCAGCACTAGCACAGCCGTACCCAGCACGAGTACAGCTGTACCCAGCACGAGCACAGCCGTACCCAGCACGAGCACAGCCGTACCCAGCATGAGCACAGCCGTACCCAGCACGAGTACAGCTGTACCCAGCACTAGCACAGCCGTACCCAGCACGAGCACAGCCGTACCCAGCATGAGCACAGCCGTACCCAGCACGAGCACAGCTGTACCCAGCACTAGCACAGCCGTACCCAGCATGAGTACAGCTGTACCCAGCACTAGCACAGCCGTACCCAGCACGAGCACAGCCGTACCCAGCACGAGCACAGCCGTACCCAGCATGAGCACAGCTGTACCCAGCATGAACACAGCCATACCCAACACAAGCACAGCAGTAGATAGCACCAGTACAACAGCAGCCAGCACCAGCTCAGAAGCAGCTGAAACCAACACAGCAGCAGCGAGTACCAGCAAACCTGATGCAAACATCTAAGAACATTGTGTGTGGAGTGTACAATTAGAACAAGTGTTAAATTTAAGTACATGGTGTTAAAGTGTTAAAATTAAGGTTACAGTAATTTTAGTGTAAAATAGTTTTTATAAAACTGTATTGTAGTACTCAACATACAGCAGAACTACTTAATTAATACAGTGCTAACGACATTATAAAGTACAGTATGTATTTGCTGTACAGTATTCACAACTCCATGAGAATTCAAGATGGACATAACTCCAACAATAAGGTAAATAAAAAGTGTAACACAGTATTTTTAGTATAGTAGTAATATATAGGTACAGTATATAGTATGGTAATGCATTTTTATTGTTTACGAGAAAAAAGACACTGACACAAACGCCTCCTGAAGGTCACCTCTTGCAACGCACCGGGGTTGCTCCTATATAGTGCGTTGAATGGAGGTTGCACTGTATTTATATAATAATAATTATTACTATTACAGTACCCTATAACATTATTATATTATGATTATTACTAGTATTACATTGATATAATAATTATACCAATATAATACTACAGTAAAATAATAATAATAATAATAATAATAATAATAATAGTAATAATGTGAAAATCCACGTGTGCTGTGAGGCGACACGAAAACCGCGACTGGCTGTATATTCTACCACTGTACCACCACTGACTTATTAGTCATACAACCGGATTTCTAATGAAATCTGGAGGCTCCTCCTGAAGGCAGTCCAAGTTTTACATATGACCTGCAAGCACTCGGGTGAAGAGCAAAGTAGTTTACACCATACACCCAACTTCAGATACACTACACACACACACAAAATCACACTCATTATATATCACGCTAGTGCAATTTTCGTTGTGCGTATATAATAATAATATAATTCTAGTATAATATTATTTATTATTATATACCTGTGTTTACTTAACCAGCAGTATAATTCATTTTTCACTCAAATAAAATAAAATTGCAATTACAGTACAATAATGTTTTAACTATATTCATACAACATAATACTCACTCGCATTAGCTGTCCTTCAGAAAAATTTAGAGGTAATATGCAGAGTTCTTGAAGTACTTTACCAAGTTTTGTACACATTACAGAAAACAAGTGATCTAGAGTGGGATGCTGAGTGCAGGCAGTTATGACAGCCTGCTGTACTTCATACACTGCTTCATAAACATCACGCTGGGCTGAAGTGAATTCACCACTAATAGGCCAAGTGCGAGTGACATCACCACTATAACCTCGGAATTCACTTCCTGTATCAAAATGGACATTATAATTAATTTAAAATTCAGTAGATAAAAACTATACAATGTAGCTACCACTGATAAGACTAAATTTAATATTAAATAAATTAAATAGCACAATAAAATATTCCAAGTTCAGTTCTAATGAAAAGAATTACTAACCTGCATCCATCAACACCATCTCTCCTGGATTAATAATCTGATTGTTATTAATGTAATGAATTATATTGGCCCTGGGCCCACCAGCTACTACAGGAGGATATGCTAAGTAGTCTGCACCTCTCATTCTGCTCTGATAGTCCACCATAGCAAACAATTGGTGTTCCATCACTGGAGCTCTAGTAGCACGCATAGTAGCTGCTATAGATTCTCCACTTATTCTACATGCTCTTCTCATCAATTCTATTTCTGCGGGAGACTTGATTAATCGAAGAGCATGCAAATGATATTTTGGCGATTCCATCCCTCCTTGACGACCTCCAAACAGCCATCCTTGCAACTGACGATGAATTTCTGGGTTTGGTGCACACTGAGAGTGGTACCACAGAGTAGGGGAGTTTAGATCTGATTCTAGTTGGCCTAGATAACGAATAAAATCACTGAGGGGTAGGCCAGCATCAACACCCCAAACCCCTGGGGCATCTGAAGGGCCAGTACGAGGGCCATCCCACAGTTCTTGACCAGGTTCATGATGTGGGGTGAACATCACACACTTGTGTAATGGAGCTTTCTTGCCTGGTAATGTGTGAAGGACAAGTACACAATCTGGTTCCAGGCATCCACACATATAAAGCATGTCAGTGTCCTGAAATATGATGGCTGCATTACTGTTCACATTAATATGAATAATGATCATAGGCAATGTAAAAAAAAAAAGTGCAAAGCAATATATTTTTGAATGAGAAGCTTTGCCAAAAATATATCTGAAACATTACTCTAGTACCAAAATCCACATACAGTAATATATAAATACAATTTCTAAGCTTTACAGACACTGGAAAATACTTAATGCTACCCAAAATTTAAGCTGAAAGTTGCACTACAATAACTTAAAAGGTTTTCTTGTGTGCAGCTTGGCAACAAATATATTGCCAAACTGCATCCTGCTTAATAATCTAACAAATCAATAGATCACTACCACTGACCACCACCAGGTGGCAGTTCTAACACTGCAGGGTCTCTGCAAGCGTGAAGATGATCATGATTGCTTCCAGTATACAAAGCCTTGTGGAATTTCCTGTTTAGTTCCGTCAAAAAGCCAGCGTTGAATGTAATGAAACGCCATTTTCTGGGTGAGCCCCGGAGGCTCCCTGGAGTTTATCGGCTCATGTATGTTATATTAGACCGGGACATTAGCTAAGGAGTTCAGACCTACCAGGGACCAGCGCCAGAACCTAGCCCCTTCAGGGAGGTTTCAGGGAGCAATGGCCCTGGAAAACGCCCTTGTGGTTGGGGTTTTCCTTATCTGCCATCGACCAGGGTTAGGCACCCAGAAAGGTAGGCATAACAAAACAAACCCCACATGGTAAAAAAACAGCGTTGAATGTAATGAAACACCATTTTCTGGGTGAGTCCCGGAGGCTTCCCGGAGCTATCCCAGGCTGATATGCTAATGTCAGACTTTGGCATCAGTCATGTGTATGGAGTTCTTAGGCCTACCGGGGACCAAGGCCAGAACCGGGCCCCCTCAGAGAGGCAAGGGGAGCAATGGCCTATAGAAGCCCCCGTGTGGTTGGAAGCATTCTATGTCTGCCATCGACAGGAACAGGCACCCAGAAAGATAAGCGCCTCAAAACAAACCCCTATTCTGGTTAAAATTGCTACCAAAAGCCGAACTAGTGGATAGAACTCCCCAACCGAAAACAAGCAAACTAGTGTGACGTCACACACCGCCGCGCCGCTGTCTGTGCAGCTCCCCCTTCCCCGGGAGGGGGAAGGGGGAGCCCCAGATCCCCCACGCCGGCTACCCACTCCTCAGTTCTTGAGGCTGGATGTCAAAAACGCGAAAAACCGCCGACCGGAGGGAGGGAGGGATGCCATGGAGCCTCCGGGACTCACCCAGAAAATGGCGTTTCATTACATTCAACGCTGGTTTTCTGGGGAGAGCCCCGTCGGCTCCCTGGAGTTAACTACCCACAGACGGAAAAAAGAGGGACTTACCCGGGAGGCGGTCGTCGCTCACTCCTCAACTCGAAGCCGAGACAACTGGCTGCAACCGCCGACCCAAAGCAACACAGGCCCGACGGGGCCCAGGGACATTCACAAGGTAACGAGCAGCCAGGACCCTGTTCGACCGCCAAAATCCCCGCGCCCGAATATCAGACCAAGACATATTCCCAAAGACGGCAGCAAGAGCCGCGAACTTACGAACGTCATGGGCACGGGGATAGACCGCAGGCTGGCTGGACTTAATAACCCTGCAGACGACCTGGGAAACCCGAACCCGCGAACAGGGAAGAAGGGAAACCGGATCAACCCACAGCGCATTCCCGGACACAGAAGCCGTGGCGCGCAAATAATGGCGAAGCGCCGCAACCGGACACAAAACATGATGCACCCCTGGCCTGACCAACCAAGCATCAAACACCCATGGACCCCTCCGGAACGCAGCAGTCTCATTCCTCGCCATAAAAGAAAGAGACGGCTGCAAGCGATCAAAACAATCACCACGACCTAAAGATCAGAAACCGCTGCGCCGGAGGAGAGCATGAAGCTCCCCTACCCGACCCCCAGAGGCCAAAGTCAACAAGAAAAGTGCCTTGGAAAAACAATCCTGGACCGAAGGGGCCACAACGAAACGAGCAGACGAAAGGAAAGCGAGCACTCTGTCCAAAGACCAGGACGGCTCAGGCGACGCATGAGCAGGCCGGAGGTGAAACAATGCACGAGACAGCTTGCGAAACGGCGCAGACGTAACATCGATACCGAAAGCAAGCTGAAGCATCTCCGCCAGTGGCGCACGATACGAGGCGACAGTGTTAGGCATAAGATAACGGTCCTGAAACAACCACGAGAGGAAGGACAAGACCACCCGAACAGACAAGGAACTAACACGACGAAGATGCAAAAAGAAACAGAAGGACCGCCAGGAAACTTCGTACTGCCGCCGAGAAGAAGCCCTCAGGTGGGACACCAACAAGGAGGCCACCTGATTATCATAGAGATGATGATAGACTCGAGTCAAAAAACCCATACGCGAAGATTCGAGGAGAAGATCGAACCAACCACGTGACGTACCGGCCCGATCTGCTGAAAGAGCAGAGCCGCGGGAAAACCCTCGGGTTTGGACACCGAGCAACCAGTGCCTGAAACCAAGGCTGGGCCGGCCACCAAGGGGCCAGAAAGACAACTCTCCCCCGGTAAGTCTCTAAGCGAGTCAGGACCTGGAGCAACAGCCGAACTGGGGGAAAGAAGTACAGGAACCCCCACCTCGACCAGTCTAGCCGAAAGGCATCGACCCCGACGGCCTCGTGATTGGGGAAGGGCGCCGCATAAACGGGAAGACGCCGCGACCACGCCAACGCGAAGAGGTCCACCTCGGAGTGCCCGAACGTCTGGCAAAGCCAACGGAAGGACTTGTCATCGACTGTCCATTCCGTGGAGAGGGGAACGAAGCGAGACAGGACGTTGGCCAAGACATTGGACACGCCCCGTACGTGAACCGCCAGGATAGCCAAGCCCCGAGAACTCAGCAGACAAGTCACCCGAAGCGACCAACCCCAAAGAGACAAGGACTGCATCGAACCCCCGCGGTTCAGGCAATGAACCACCGGAGAGCAGTCCGAATGGAGCCGAATCGTCAATCCGCAGGCCACTCGAATCTTCCCCAGAGCAAACCACACTGCTGTGAACTCCCGCACTGTGCTGTGAGCTCGACGGAAGGACGGATCACAACGCCCCTGGCCGGCCTGGTGAGCACTGGTCACAAAACCCCAGCCGAGAGACGACGCATCCGTGTACACATCGAGCGAGGGCTCGGGTAGGCACCAAGGCACTGAACCCCGAAAAACCCGAAGAGTAAGCCGGTGACGCAGAAACCGACGCAAGGCCCCCGGGGGTCGAACTCTGCGATCGCGAGAGAGGCGGAAGGGGGAACCCCGAAGGAACCAAAACAGCCGTCAAAGCCAAACCCGATCCGGCGGACAGACCACCATCGCGAAGTTCAGGCTCCCGCACAGCCCCTCGAGCAACCGCCGGGTGACCCGAGGGCCCTCCAGAAACAGACGAAGGCGGGATCGCAGCCGCAGGAGAGACTCCAGAGGGAGAGACAAGGAGGCGGTTCGAGAGTCCCAAATGAGACCCAGCCAAGTCCAAACCTGAGAGGGAACCAGATGGGACTTCCGCCAGTTTACCAAGAACCCGAACCCGGCGAGCTGGGAAAGAACCAAATCCCTGGCTAGCAAGCAAGCTGACCAGCTGGGAGTCCAAACCAGCCAGTCGTCGAGGTAAGCCAACACCCAAACACCTAGGAGACGGAAACGAGCCACCACAACCCGTGTAAGGCGCGTGAACATGCGAGGTGCCAGGTTCAACCTGAACGGGAGACAACGAAAGCGGTAACTCAGACGCCCCACAACAAAACCGAGCCAGTCCCTGAACCGTGGATGAATCGGGACATGCCAATAAGCGTCCCGGAGGTCCAGGGACACCATCCAAGCTCCCGGCTCCAAGAGGAGCCGAACCTGAGACAGCGTAGTCATCCGAAAAGAGGGGCAATGAACCCAGGGGTTCAGACGGGACAAGTCCAGAATGAGACCGCAGGTCCGCAGTCCCGTTTCGGAACCGGAAACAGGGAAACCCATCTGAGGGATGATGTCGTTTCGACGACGCCCAAGCGTACCCACTCCAAGACGACTCGACAGAGCGCAGGGGAAGAAACCTGCCCTGCCAGCCCCGACCTCCCCAAGGAGGGAGGGGCCACCCAACGCCACCGCAGGCCGCCAGACACGACCTGAAAGGCCCACAAATCGTGGGACCAGGCGCGGGCGAACAGTGCAAGTCGCCCTTCCATCGCCCCGTCAATGGGGCAAACCGCGAAAGGGCCGGCGACCCTTACGAGACCCAGAACCCCGCGCAGAGCGAACACCGCGCCGACCAGACGAGGGAGGGTCCGCAGGAGGAGTCAAACCCGAACCTGACACCAGAGGCCTACCACGACGAGAGGAACCCCGAGCCCTGGCACAACCTTTCCGGGAAGACCCACCTGGGACCCCCGGAAAACCAACAAGTCCGACATCGGACGACAAGCCGCCAATGCAGCCTGAATAAACTGCGCCACGGCCGACTCCTCAAACAGAAGAGGACAAAAAGGTGAAGAACGCCTAAGAGCCAGAGCCCAAGCTCTGGCCCAAGCTCAATTCCACGGAGGAACCCAGCACCATCTGCCGACACGCGAGACGGGAAGCATAAAACAGGGAAACCACATCCCGCAAAATCGGCGTGAACAGCTTCAACAAGGCAGCCGACGAACGCGCAGCCGAGGACGAGGTGCCGGACCCTGGGACGGACCCAAGCGTCCTCACATCCTCCACGAGCCAATCCGAAGACAGCTCCAGGAGGGAAAAGAACCGCATGGCTGAAGCCAAAAGGCCCTGGGCGCGCAAGTCCTCCGCAATGAGCGCCGCCGAAAGGGTGGGAACCTGCACATGGAGCTGAATAATGCCCACATCGCGGGGAAGGGCAGGGGCAAACAAGCACTCATTCAGGTACTCAAGCTCGCCCCCCAGGAAAACCTGAAGCACCGTGGAAGCTTCCTGCCACTCCAGCGTACGGGAACGACAGAAGGAATGCCAGGAATCTAGAACA